AAATATTAATACAGAACCCTATTTGCTATAGGCTATCTGATTCTAGAGAAAGCCATTCCTGTTAGCTAGGAGGCTCCTGCTCATTTATGTCCTAACACATAATTTACATTCTTAAAATTCTTGGTACTTTGTTATGGTAACCACACATTGTATAATTTTAGTGCTTTCACTACCTGTTGCAGAACATTTTATGTATAGAGTGAGATATGCAGTTAAATTAGTTTTCCTCTAGAATTGTTCTGTTATGTGTAATATTTTACTACCAGATTTATACCCCTAGAATAATGATGGAATGTGCTGGTTTTGGTAACCAGCTATATGAAAGATAGAGTTAATTCTTATGTCTTAAAGCATATAAATACAATTAGTGCTACAATGAAATATCTAAATGCATAACGAAGATTACATTTGTAAATGCAGATAGTTTGCCCTTGAGTTGCGAATATTTGGGTTATGGGATTTTGTTCTTATGGAAATCCTGAAAGAGAACCATAAATTTCAGGGCACAGACCATAAATTCACCCTTATGGAAATTTTCCAGAAATATTAAGAAAAAAATTTAAACTCAAAATGCAAATATACAAGAAATTCAGTCCAGACTCTCTTTTTAAGGTTTGATTATTTGTTAAGAAATTCATATTGCATATGCACATGCATCAGTGATGTGAAGGGATAGCCGGTAGTGTGGTTCCTATTGCCATCATATTTTAGATTGTGCATTATCATTTAAGATACGTGTTTATTTACTGTTATTTCTAATGAGCAAAATATGTTATTACAACTGTCGATTAAAATTTTCCACAGGACATATCTCTATTGTAACATGAGAATCAGTTAAGAACAAGGGTTCATGATATGGACTTTCATAAAAGGAAGAAATTTTCAAGAATACATCCCTTTCATAATGCGTGAGAAACAGATCAGGCACGAAACAAACCTGTTAACCCTATGAAGCCTGAAGCTCATATAAACCATATTTAGATCTTTAGTTCCAACTTCATGGATATCTGTTTATTTGTTACTATAGAATTAAATTAATTGCTCTTTATTCTGAGAATCACGTGGAACTCGTAAATACACTGTGTAGGTAAAATATAGATACTACTCTGCTTTAAGGTGCAGTGCATGATTGTGAACATGTTACTGTCACATAAAACCTACAGAAAAGTTCAACATAACTTAACAGGCTAAAAAAAATTGGAGATTTACTCCTAGACTTAAGTGGCCAAGTAGAAGACTTTCCTTAATTTGTGAATCCTCTTATTTCTAGAATATATAAAGAATGAAAACCAAAATGCATTCAAAATGCAACTCTCCCCAGGAAATTAATTTCAGTATGCATGGACACCAGCAAGGGAGGGAAAGCTCAGCATCTGCCCCCCCCCCAGATTATCGGAAAAAATCAAAAGAAAGAAATATATCAAATATTAATACAACAAAATTAGTTTTTTTTTTTCAGGACAGGTACTCTAAGGCAATCAGTAATAATAGTATTCAAGAGCTTAAAAGTTGGTAAGCAGAATTTCTTGCTGCTTCCCTATGGAGAAAACCCTGGTGGTGGCCATGTCAGCAGAACATTGTTTAGTTCTTTATAGTACTTTAAAGGCTGCAGAAATCCATTTCATCTATCATGTACCATAATTATAGTTTCCAAGAAAATAGGCTGTTTTAATATAATTTTTTAGCTGCCTTGATCAGGTTTCAATTTAATTTTATGGCTGTCTCCCAGGTGATGGTTAATTGCTGCTTAAAATTAACTTTGAAATTTGTTATTTTACACTCTGTTTCATGCACTGTTTATAATATGTTTTCATATTCAAAGTGCCTGCTCATAATTAAGAAGGGACTTGATCTGTGGTGGTGCTGGTTTATTACATTCATGTGTGTACATTTTACAGCTTTTGTTATTGTGTTTATTGACATCTGAATTCCTTTTGCATTAGATGAATATTTTTGGACATTTGTTGACTGACTGAATAAAAATATGTCCATGCAATGTCACAGTGAGTCCCCAACTCTTCTTTCCATAAGCAGATGGTACATAATGAAGACAGAAAGTCTGCAACATAGGAATGGGTCAGGGTCACAGTATGTTGCCTTCAAATAATGAGTTTCTGACTGTCATTTTCTTTATTCCACATAATTCTAAAAATTAAGAATGTGCTACTTGTCCAATAGCATTTTCTTGGTTGCTTTTATTCTTTTACCTTCAACCACTTTCCTTCTCAAAGTGTACCATTTAAATGACAGTGTTATCATTCAAGAAAACTTTAGATGCATAGGATAATAATGTATAACCAGCTGATCTTATCTCATTTTGTTGCAACTAATATTTTTTTTAATAATCTGTTTGTGACAATTTTACTTTCATTTGATTTATGATAAGGTGCAATTAAAATAAATTATATTTTATCTTTTCTTTTTCTTGATACAGCCTGAAATACATCTGTTATGTGTATTTTGCATACCTTGTTAATGTCTATAATCGTCAACAGAAGGATTAAAACAGGACTGAACACTTAATGGAATAAGGGCTCACTAATGAACATAAATTTGAAAATCAAGAGGAAACTGACAGAGTATTCTTTGACCAATATTTTCACAGCGTTTTGTCACTGTGTTCTAAAGCACCATAACCTGTAGTTGTAATATTTAGTGTATTATAGTTGTGTTTGGTATTTTCTATTACCAGAGCATGTACATGTAGCCAAAGTACCATGTGCACAGTTTTATTTTTGTTTTATATTTTAAAATTTGAAAAAGTTCGATGTGAACTCCTGTGCCCACTGTGCACACACCTAGCTGGTATTCCGAATATTGTCACACCTCAGTCAGACTATCTGAGGTTAAGGTCTCACCTGCATATTAGAGTCTTTGCTTCAGATGTCCACATTGTTGAGTTTAATATGTACACAACTTGTTCTCTAAAGCTAAAAGTAAAAGTAATGAATGATGTCTGGAAAGCTTTCCAATCTCCACTTCCAATCCATTGTTTTCAAAATATTGCACAAAAGGTCTCTGAATTATGACCCAGAGCTGTAGATGCAGGGCTGCACATTCAGTTATTTATAACTTGTAATTTTAAGGATATCAAAGAGGAAGTTTGATGTTGAGCCAGGTGTGCAGAGAAGGCCCAATCATTTTTTTACGTGTGTTTCCATGAGTCTTTTTTCAAGAAAATTGAAAAAGATAAGAATTTTAATGACTTCCATTATGAGGTTTTTTGTCATAGTTATACTGGGAATGTTTCCCTTAAAATATATTAACTGGCAAAATTTAGAAGTCTTAGGATATTGAAGAGTTTGTATGTACTGTTTTGTATGTTAAATAAATTTATATTATGAGCCAATGAGACAGTACATCAACTATTTGTAGATTTCAAGAAAGATTATGTTTCAGTTAAGAGTGAAGTGCAAGCATTGTACAATATTCTTATAGAGTCTCTTGTACCCACGAAACTGGTTAGGCTGATTAAAATGTTTTTAAATGAACTGTGTAGTAAAATCCTTACAGGTAAACATTTGTCTGATAATTTTTCTGTCCAAAATGGTCCTAACAAGGAGATGCTTCGTCACCACTGCTTTTCAACTTTGCTTTAGAATATGTCATTAGGAAGGTTTAGGAAATCCAGGTGAGACTGAAATTAAATAAGAAACAAGTGGTGCTCAATGCTGATGATGTGAATCTACTGGATGATAATATAGGTACCATAAAAAATACATAAACTTTAATTGATGTTAGTAAGAAGGTTGTTTTATAAGTAAACACAGAGTATTTGTTGCTGAATTATCACAAGAATGCACAGAAAATTATAACATAAAGATAGGAAACAGATGTTTTGAAAATGTGGCACAGTTCAGATATTTGGGAATGACTATAACAAATCAAAATCTGATATAGGAAGATATTTATAGGAGATTTAACTCAAGTAATGCTTGCTACCGTTCGGTCAAGAACATTTTGTCTCTTCATCTGCTGTCTAAAATCATAAAAATTATAATATACACAACTATATTTTTGCCTGTGGTTCTGTATGGGTTTGAAACTTGGTCTCTAACATTAAGAGAGGAACATAGACTGAGGGTGTTTGAGAACAGGGTGATGAGAATATTTGGGCTGAAGAGAGATGAAGGTTGGAGAAAATTGCATAATGAGGAGCTTCATAATTTGTACTCTTTGCCAAGTGCAATTAGAATGATCAATTCAAGGTGTATGAGATGGGCAGGGCATGAAGCATGAATGGGGAGAAGAGGAATACATACAGGATATTGGTGGGAAAGCCAGAAGGAAAGAGACCACTGGGAAGACCAAGAGATGTGAGTGGATGATATTGAAATAGATCTTAGAGAAATAGGCTGGGATGTTACGGTTTGGATTGATGTGGCTCAGGATAAGAACCAGCGGACGGCTCTTGTGAACACGGTAATGAACCTGCGGGTTTCATGAAATGATGGGGAATTCTTGAGTGGTTGCACAATTGGCAGTTCTCTAGAAGGGCTCAGCTCCATGAGTGAGCCTTGAATGTACCTATCCTTACTTTGAGTCAGTCGCTACCAGGGTTGATGACTTTTGTGTGACTATGATATGCAGGTACAATAAAATGTAAATGAAATAAGTACTCAGCAGGCATCATCCTTCAGAATTACTTCCATTATTTGTGGACACATTTTTTTTGATGGTTAAAGCATTCAGTTATGTATACAATACACTCATTTGATTATAGCTTGTCCTTACTGATCAGATATATGAAAGATCTACCCAGGAAATTTAGAACAGTTAGTTATAATTATTTATTTCCACCTAATAAATTTATGTTGTGCCTTAGATCCTCACCTTGTTTCCCTTATATTGAAAGATTTAAGCCCTGGGGAGAACAGTCTGACAGTTATGCATCACACAGTAACATTCTCACTGAGGTTGTCTATTGTTGTCCATAGTTCAAGAGGCCATTACATACACAAGCAGATAATAATTATTATATTTTTCCTGGTGTGACATAGTCGATGCCGAGGTCGGGAGGAGGAACCCAGGTTCGTATATGGGAGATATCGCCATCCCACAGGTCGGCATCCACCTGGCTACCATCAGCACCATTTGCAGGAAGAAGAGGGGATCTACGAGACTGCTGACCATGACAGAGGGGGAGATCAGCTGTGTGGTGACACACCAGATAGTGAAAGGTGAGGCATAACTGATATCTAAGTCAACTATATCTTTGTTCTTGCAGACTTGGTAGCTTATAATTAGTAGTTTCTTTCAAGTTTTCTATATAGGGACAAATTACTTGTTTGCTTTTTCCCTCTTTGTGGAAAACTTTTTCCCAAGTGATCTTGATATACTGGTAATAAAACGAAAAGTAAATGAGAACAGGCAAAAAATAGTTTGCATGTTTATTAGGTAGGTGATGTTGTAAGCATAGTAGAGACTGTAATGTGACGTTTGTGTGGTTATTGCATGTTATAGAATTTGCATGACAGATCCAAGTTAAGGAATCAACCCCCAGTTTTTGTTGTTGTTGTTGTTGTTTATGATTATTATTTTCTAGTGATGAATTTATTCAAGCTCAACAACAGTTAGTCCGGTCGGCGAGTGAGGAAGCTCTACCTGTGACTGCCAAGCCCAGCTCATCTACATATGAGCGTAGTGGAGTGGGCCATCACACACGTCACCATTCACACCATAGGGCCAGCCCGCGGCAGCAAGATAAACCCTCCATGGCAGCAACATCAGGGGGAGGGGCAGTGAAGCGAGAGTACTACCCTTCCCCTCCACCCTCAGAGAGTGAAGATGAATCATCACCAGATTCTCCTGGTCCCTCATCATCACCAGCCCCTGCTATGACTTCTGCTGCTGGCTCACAGTCTACTGAACCACTGCGTCATTCTGCCAGTGAAGATTCGGTTGATGAAGACAACGATTCGTCCAGGGAAACAGCTGCTTCATCTTCTGTCTCAGGGACAGAGCAGACCGCCCTTTTACGCCCTAAACGTTATCCAGAATATAAACACTGATCACGGAGTGTTCATAGGTAGACAATTCTTTCACAAAACAAACATCGCGCTAGTTATTCACCGCTGTGCAAATTACTATGTTCTGAACACAAGTATCAAATTTGTTGGCGTCTTGAGTGCTGTTTGTTTGAGTGATCATATATAGGTGGTTTCTTATGCCATTTCATAAATTTCAGTGAAGTCCAATGCAATTTTAATTATCCCATATTCAATCCAGGGTACAAATGGCTCACAAGGAATTACTTTCCATGGTTTCATATTTCCCTGTACCATTCTAGTTAGCTGTGTGACAGGAGGACTACAGGGTACAGTGGACAGTATGTAGGTAAAGAACTCTGTGTTACATGCCAGAATGTTCCATCTCACTAACTACAGTGAGCTCATTAAAGACAAGATTCCCTAATGGTATTTGTGTATATGTTCATCTACAGGGCTCGAGAAATGTAAGTTAGAAACAGGATATATTTCAAGTACTGGTCTAAGATGAAGTTGCAAGTAATGGGCTGTGCAGACAGGGCTAAGGGATGTTGCTAAGCGGAATACAAACAGTGGATAGCAAGGTGCTCACAGCACACAACATACCAAATGACCATAATAATAATAATAATAATGATAATATTAATAATAATAATAATAATAATAATAATAATAAGTAATAACAGCTATCAGGGAATGATCATATTGCCAATCTACTCAATCATGTTTAATTTTTGTAATGAGAAATTTAAGTTTGTTTACAAAAATTAAATGACCTATAAGTTGTACCCTTAATGATAGCTAAACTTACATCATGCAATATTAATTTTCTTCCCAGATCTTTCTCATTCATCACATATAATTGAAGTATCTGATTATTAACGCAACTGCAAACCATACATATTTTCTTATGGGCGAGAAAAATTATATAATGGAATTTCCAACTGGCCCCAAGATTTAAATACATTGTCAGGTGTTCATCAGTAGACACTGGGTTTGGACTGACAGTTGGATTTATTGAATCCATATAGCTCATAACTACAATCATTGTAACAGTCTCTTTAATTAAAACACTCTAAAAATCACTACAACACACACTAATTATTCTCAGTTTGCCTCCACCAGTCGTTGCTCAGCAATGGATCCCATTAATGCCCTCTTATTTTCAATTAGTTTGCCGCCTTCTACCATTGCACAAGTAACTCACTGTCCCAACTGTCAACTCTCAACTAACATCAAAGTCAGAGTCAGAGTTACTTTACAACTGATGGTTTACCACCAATCGGTTTGTCTTGGCCCCAAGCGCCTTGTGACTCACAACCACAGTCACCTTTATGGTCACAGCCCTTATGAAATAGCCTCTCTGATGAGAGGATGGGTTTGTCTCTTATTTATATGCTTGGCCTTTGTCAAATGTACGTATTGCACATACAGCATATTATTGAAAATTCTGCTCTTACAAAATATACAAGTCTTCTGACAGTCCAAGCTTTACGAAGCAAATGACGCCTATCTTATTTATCTTGTGCTACAATGCAAGCTTGGTCACTTCAAAGGTTGCAAGCTCGGCTGCCACCAAGTTTAAGCCTCATATATTTTCTATGTCTGGCGTCACCTTGGCCTATGCTGAGATCATGTTCATTCTCATGATTTTATATGACTGTGCTTCTTGCCTGCATAATTTTGTCATATAACCATATGCATACAGAAGGTTGAAAGCCATGTGAAATCGCAGACCAGTGTGCACCTTGGAAAATTTCCAAAGGTGTGGAGAATCTTGCGTTTCAGGGACTGCAATTTTAAGATGTAGCTGTCTGCTGCAAATTCCCAAGGGGTCAAGCATAAGTCATTATTGACTTAATCAGTGATTTACAGAGGGTTAGTTTAATGTTGGTGCTTAAATGCTCACTTTTGAATAGGGAGTAGTTTCTAATAAACATTCTGAAGGCCATGACTTAAATCATTTCTGTGTGCAGTCTCCATAGGACCCTCTTATCAAAGATTACACCAAGATATTTCACATTAACTAACTGACTTCAAAATCAAAGTTGTGTTATGACCAACGATGAGTTAGCCACTCTATCTTGGTGTGAAGCCCCATTAGGGGCCGAAGACCAGATTTTTTACTGTCAGACATTTGCAGGTTTTTAGATGTGGGGCGCTCTCTCTGATGAGAGAAAGGGTCTGTCATTTACAATTGCTGCTGGTCCTCGCCAGCATAGTCATTCTTGCATCCGTGTCCCACGGGACTCATCACCATATTTTACTTTCTCAGTTTGAGACCCCCCCCCCAAACTGGAGGGCTAGGTTCCCATATTTATATCCCCCAGGGACAGGGTGGCCCAGTTATATCCCCAGGTATTGGGTCCCCTCCTTGTGTCTTCCTATGATTTGCAGTGCTGACTGCTAAATTACTGCTGCCCCTCACCATCAGTTAGTCTTAGTTTCGCGTCCCACTGGACTCATGACCATATTTTACTGTCTTGACTTGTAAGGCTGCCTAACTTGTGCTCGCCATATAGCCTTGGCATGAACAACATAGAAAACACCATTTCCAGCACTTCTGTTGTTGTGTGCATATCATTGCCACAGAAGCGCGTTCATCAAGCCATTGCCTTGCAATGGACAATGTAATTATGTTACAGTATTTTTAAAATATAAATTATCAGCTTAAGACTGCGCATTACATTTTCATTTCAAATGGTGAAGTCAGAGGTTTGTGTTTGTATAATTGCATGAATAACAAAATACACATATTTACGAGCCTAAATTATCCTGAGTTATAGTTATCAGGGCCACGCCATAGCTAAAGTGGTTAGTCGCTGGCTTCCCACTGTGGCAGCACGGGTTCGATTGTGGGTCTGGTCAAGTGGGATCTGTGGTGGACAAAGTGGTGGTGGGGCAGGTTTTCTCCGAGTACTTCGGTTTCCCCTGCCAATCTTCATTCCACCAGTTGCTCCACAATCACCCTCACCTATCATCTGGGGCTGGTACAATAGGCCAGAAGTGGTTGCAGTACAAGGGACTTAGTCCCACCCCATTAAAAAATTATGGTCATCATGGTTTTGTTCACTACCTTCAAGAACATTCTGGGATAGTACCTCAAATTAGGCCATGACTGCATCCTTTCATGTCTTCTCCAATTTATCATTCACTAACCATCCTACCATTCAACACTATGTAGTCAGAGCTACAGATGGAAAAATGAAATAAACCATAAAATATAATAATTTAACTGTTTCTGTGACACATTCAGGTCACAATCCAATTATATTACTGTCACTGGGAAATGCTTGAAAGATACAGTCTGTTAAAGTTAGAATTAATGTCACTGACAGCCTAGTTTCATTGACCTAAGATGATGATATTTTGCTGTTTAGATAGTTAAAATATACAGATTTCCGTGATGTGATGTCGCATAGTTATGTAGACAGGCATGAATGTTTTGGAAGAATACGCTGCCCTATTGAACCCTAAAAATGGATTCAGCGAATTTTGGTACCCATCTGCCAAATTATATGCCATCACATCCCAAAGGACAATATTATTCAGTCTCTGATGTGAGTAATTCAAATCTCACACAAAAAATAAATTTGTATATAAGTTGCATGCAACTAACATTAATTCCTTCATGTCTATAAGTGATGTGTACACCAAAATTATGTAATATTGATACAGTATGCTTTCAACCATTGTTTCACTTAATTCAGAGTGAATGTGATGTGATGTGATGTAATTGGATTTCAGTAAATAATTGGGAGTTAAATTGTATGAATCTCATGAACACATCTAGTGCAGACAGAAGGCTGGGTCCTGATAAGATACAATTCAGTACATATGTAAAAAGCATATAATGTTGAAGGCCTTCAGTTCCTCCATATTAAAGCTTCCTTTTCCTCCTGAACAAAGGAATTTCATTTGAAATCCCTCTTACTGCAGTTGTGTGAGAGAAGTAAAGTGCAATACAATGTAAACTAATATAATGCACAACTAAATTAGTGTGGAATTACAATTTCATACTTTCAGCATTTTGAAAAACTGCTAACAGTTTGAAACATATTTTTATTCTACTTGAAATCACATTAAGGTTTTATAACAGTGACAAATAATACAGTGAATTTCTTTCAGAGCCTCTCACAAGTCAATGAACCACTCAGGTGGAAAATCTGAATGCTCCTTATATCAAATTGGCACTTCAGAGCTATAGACTGCTAGTGGAAGGTTAAACTCATCATAAAAAAACTCAAACCCATTGCAGCAGATGCTTGGTACACTAGTATTGTTTAAGGAATTTCCAAGCTTAGCACTGATTCATCCCGTTTCTCCTCCAGAAACTGCTAAATAACTTCCATGAAGCAAGCATATTGTCATGTGCTGGCTCTGATTGCATGCCCTGTGTTGCTTCAACACCTGCTGCTCCACTTCTCTTGTGCAATATACAGTCACTCATTCAACCACAGAATGAAAGAGGAAAAACCTTATGTAAATTTTTGGTTATTACAATTCCACATAGAGAAAATATTCACACCATAATAAATAAATGAAGACAGAATCACTCCTGAGCAAATAAAAATTGAGATGTTGAATGCTCATTGAAGAGAAACTGGATAACAGAGGTGCCACATTTGAACATTTTCCATGGATATTATTCGATATATTGTGTGGGAAAATGGGTTTTCAAATTGTCAGTATGCTGTTTCCCAGGTAGAACTTCAATATTTTATTGTAAACTTTACACAGAGATGCCACAAATGTGTAACAGAGAACATTTCTAGCATCTGTAGGTTCATCAATTTTGCTAGCAGTCTCAATCCCTGGAGATCTGATGTGATGGAAAGAGCATCTGACCCTTCAACCTGTGTGGTTCAGCAATTAGCATTAGGCTCTGTGAAGATCTCACTGTACATTAGAATTTTATGGCTACTGATAACAGAAAAAGTAATGCAGTTGCATTCCCATGTCAGCAGTTAAATGTCATACTGATATATTGTAAAAGCTTCAGTCAGTAAATTAAGTCACATGAAATAGTTACCATCTATGATGAATTGCTACATAAAGTTACAAAATAGAACAACTGAATGGATTTCCACATGGCAGATTTATTCCAGCCATATTGTTTTGATAACTTTACAGAATTTGATAAATGATTACAAAAGGTTAATCAGATCTCTCCAGTGTGACTGGTAAAATGTTTTTTTCTTTCTTTCCTTTTTAATCTTTTATCCTTGACATGTTTCTGTCATAGAGACCATCTTCAGAAGGATATATCAATACGGGCAGAAACTACTATTACAATGTGATTGGTCAATATCCATATATACGTACAGTATCATCACAATGCCATGAATATAAAATCTGACCCTTTAGCATCCACATCACTGTACTTGTTAAAGGGTCAGATTTTATATTCATGGCATTGTATTGATATTGACCAATCACATTGTAATAGTAGTTTCTGCCCATATTGATATATCCATCTGAAGATGGTCTCTAAGACAGAAATATGTCAAGGATAAAATATTAAAAAGGAAAGAAAGAAGAAACATTTTATCAGTTACACTGAACAAAGTTCATTAATATCTGTAATATTGCTAGTGTGATGAACCAGGATGAACCAAATCAAATTTGATAAATGAGACTAACAACCATCATTGAGGGTACACAGCATGGTTTCCATTAAGTTGTATGCATGTTCTTCATGCACCATACTTAATTCATTTTAAGCTTGATATTCATCTTTAGGATGGCTGATAATTTAATATGCTAATAGCATACTTTCTTCATATCCAGAAATGAAGGTCGTAGTAATAATAATAACATCATAATCATAATAAAGATTGGAATCTCATTGTTGTAATAGTCAAACGATTTTACTTTGTTTGTCATTCTTAAAAAGAAATTTCTGAATAAAATCCTGTATTCAAGTTCTTACTATTTGTAAGTCATTGTGTATAACATAATGAAACTGTTTGTGATAAAATCATTACATATAAGGAACATAAATTTTGCTCTGAAAACAATGCAATATACCCATCGCACAAGACTTATTTCCCTAAACAAGACTGAAATAGATCAAAAGTCATCACCGCACAGCCCCTCTAGATTGATTATGCCCAAATACCAATATGTAAAATTACAAATCATCTTAATTCATCAGTGGTAACTTTTCCAGTTGATAGATTGTCCTTGTTAGTTATGTCTCAGTGTTGTTTGATCAAGTAAGGCCTAAATATGGAAGTGTGGGCATCCGAGAAAGACATACAGTATGTGCCAACTTGGTTGTTTCTATGTAGAAAACAATACTGAAAGTGAACTTAAAAAAATAAGATTGTTGATTGATATTCCAGTGACAACAAAGTTAACTCCATACTAAAAAATGCTCAGTTACTTTATAATAATATGTAAGTTAAAATGTACATATGTGCGTGAGTGCAAGTGTATACCAAAAGAAGACAGTGTTTTTTTATTATTATTATTTATAGACAAAATGTTACAAACGTTATACTGTGCATGATATAAATTTATAAGTGGTTTCACTTCAGGTCTCCAGAATAAAATAGCATGTGAGAGTACAGCTTTCTTGCAGGTATAGGTAGACAGAAAGGACAGTGAAAACTAAAAGTTCTATTTTGTTTTGTATTGGTGGGTAACAGAAGAGATGACAAATGTAAACATAAAGAGCTTTCATTCAGAAGAAGTATACCACTCTTGAAAAGTAATCGACATTATTCTAATGAATAAGTAATGCTGTGGATTTTTACATTACAACATTTTAGCACTGATAACAAAACAAAGACACCCATTATAAAAGGTTTTTTTTTTCACTTCAATTTGAAAGACATGGAATGTCTCTACCAATAAATAACTATCTGCTTCAAATGTTAGTTTGTAAGTTTCTTGATGAGAATATCCCCCACTGCTGTGCAGTTATTGACGTTTTGAAGACATAACTGTTTATCATGCAGTAATCTCTTTATTTAAGCCCCAGGTTTTATTCTTCAAATATTTTTGTTTGTTTTTTGTTCTTGCTGCTGAATAAACTGCAGTAATTTAGTGGGATAATTCTTTCATGAAGACAAGGGGTAATACAAATAAGTGAAATCTTTGCTCACTAAAATGAACTGGTATCAGCAGAGTGGTTTGAAAAGATGAGTTATTGAGCCTGCTTTACATAATCAGAAGTTTATGATTCTACA